TGGAAGACCAATTCATAAACGAACACAATTAAATATTGAATAAATATACTTTAATAAAATTTAAATTTTATTATTAAAAAACATTTGTATTATAATTATTTATTAAAAAATGAAAAGATATTTTACACATATTAAATGAATAGCGAATCAGGAGTAGAGCCAAACTCTATGTAAGTTTATGGGAGGGATGGAGTAGAGCCAACATCCATGTTATTCCTATGGGAGGTCGGTTTTTTGAGGGCCCATGTTAAATCCCATAGGAAAACGCTCCAGAACTTACCACTCTATACTACTGGCATGGCGTGAGTGTGAGTGCGGGCTCTCAATACATACAGCCATCACATGTGACCCAATAATAATGATTACATTAATATTCTGGTAGTAGTAGTCATACGCTGTTATAATTATGCCAACACTCGCATCAAACACGGCATACCTCTGTTCCCACCGGAGCTATCGGTGCTCTCAAAAATTCACTGTTAGTTCTCTCTCTCTCTCTCTCTCTCTCTCTCCTGACAAACTAAGTGTTCATTAGATCTATGGTTTATATTTTAATTGAATTGAATCCTTGTTTTTGTGTCCATTTTTCAGACATATTAGAGAAATATTGCCAAAAAAGTAATGATTTAAAAAACATTTTTGTTGCTAATAATTAAAAGTCTAATACATTATTTAAATTGATGTTTAGTAAGCGGCAAATATGCCTAACTATACATAAGGTGGGCACCGGTCAGGGGTGAAGGGGCGTCCCTATAAGCCATTGCTATCCTATTTATTGCTACACTAAAAATCACGCATTTTTAATAATCAAAATGTTTTTCCTGAGAAATTTTGCGGAGTTTTTCGATTCATTATTGTTAACAAAATCTCCGCAAAAAAATAATAACTAAATCTAAACGTAATCTCAATTATAAAACATACCAATCATAGGCACTGTTACCATACAGTGTATGTATATTCATGTTTTTTAATTTATAAATTATAATTATAATATAATTTGAACGGCAAAGTTACCATACATGAAATTCATATACATAACAATAGGCCCATACACTGAATATACAGCCTTATTATATACATGTATATAACGATATTATACAAGAAAAATGATCATTTTTCAAACACACGGCTCCCAACCCATCGGCTAATTAAGTTAGAAAAACAAAATTACTTGCGATTTCTCCCATCACTCGCTGTTATACATGTATTGTTGTTGTTTGTGATAAACCAAAAGCAAAATTATAAATAAATTTCACTTTTTTCATATCTATCTATATATTTGCCCACAAATACAGCGAATATTTTTGGGAGTGTTTTTTGTTATCGTTATGTTATTGTATTGTATAAAAATGATAAGCAAAACAGAATTAAAGCAATTATTTAGCAAGTAAAATCATGTGGATATATTTATCGGTGGTAAAATGCCCTTTGTAAACTTGTGATAGCATAGCAAACAATGTAAAAAACTTTGCAAAGACTGGTAGATAGTGTGGAACCGGTCGCGACCTCTGGAATAGACCGTCAATTGTATGATAAAAAAGTTTTGAAAACTTTTTAAAGTCCAGTATTTCATACAATTATAAATCTTTCGGTAATTATTACTGATATAATTGCCTACAAATATATTTTAAACAACAAGACTATAAATTACAACTCAAACCCTTTGCCATAAAGATCCAGATACTTATCAAACGATACTTAAATTCATAAACGCATAGCTAATGGTAAAAATTGTTATTTGTATTACGATTGACTTAATTACAGGCATTACTTTCATTATAATTAGCATAACTTCTGTGGCATATATTTAAAACTTTTAAACACAAACTATTGTTTTTGTTGTATTTCTAGGGTTTGGCGTTAAATACACGGCCGGATTCACTAGACCGGGGGTCTCATCGGTATTTGGGCACAAAAAATACATCAAAATATATTCATTTTGTATATATTTTGTGGGGTCGGGAGAGAGGGTGCAAACGAACTCATTTCTATGCAAATTAAGTGGGAAATAGTCCTAAAAAATAATAACACGTTATGAGCCATAAGTGTTTTACTGTGAATATATTTGAGAGAGAGAGAGAGAGAGAGAGAGAGATCTTAAATTTTATTTACTGATTGTAGTCAATAGACGGCAAAATTTTACTAATGTTTTCACATTCAGAATAATAACTATTATTTTTATTAATTTCTGGTGAATAAACATAACATGCATTGAATATATCATTATAATTATATGACATAAGAAACTGGTTTCTAATCGTATGGTTTGCGTAAAATAGTTCCACTTTTTTTCTTAACTCATTTCTATTGTCGTTATTTAAACTGATATTTAATTGTTTAAAATATTCATCTTTTAAGACATCAATTTTGTCCACACATATAGTTATTGCCGGCAATGATATAGTGTTTGGGTTGACGTAATTAACAGTTGTTATAGTTTTGTATGAAAGGTAAATGTTGCAAATTGTTATAATTTGATACAAGCATACTGTTAGACAACTTGTAAAATAAATGTAATGAAATAATTTTGAAGCAATAGATTTAACTAATAATCGATACATTATATTCAATTTGATTAAAGTGAAAATGCTAGACATACAAGTTGTAGATGGCAACTATGTAAAATTACAATCATATATAATATTATATATTATTCATTTTAGTCGTTGTTTTAATGTATGTTTTATTATAATATTTTACGATCAATAAAAGTAGTGTTTTAAATACAGAATAAACTTGTTAGTTAATAACTAACTTGTAAGTAAAAACTTTTAGTTTACCATATTAGTATTATTATAAATAATATAAGAAATAATAATGTAACATTATATTTGTCTACATAAAATTGTATAATTTATATTAATTCAATAACATAACATTAAATCATTACATTGTAATTAAAAATAATTGCAATCATATAAAACATTTTTCAAACTTAGGAATTTAAACTTAAGTATTGCTATTATAATATAAAATATAATTATCAAAATATAAGCATGTTTGTTATGGTGTCCAATGAGTGGTCGGGTGCCTACTGTTTAGCGTACGTACGGACGGCCACCACCGGACCCGCAGTGCTCGTCACCCGGAGTTCATTGCCGTTCCACTCGTAGACAACCTTCAATTGTTTGTCGCCCTCTCCTATGGTGTGAGTAATACGATTGCCTTCCTTCACACCAATTGCCTGCGAATAAAATATTTATATTTTAATGTAAATAAAACTAAATCAAATTTAATCAATGTGATTATAAATTATTTAAAATTAATTAATCTCAATAATATATACTATACCATTTAGGTTTAAATTGTTATGTGTATTTATAATAAACATAGTTTACCTGGACATCTTTGCCGTTAAATTTTTCACTGTACTTTACACCAAGTTTAAATTTGGTGTCCCGCACGTGATCGCCGTTAGTCGACATAATGTGGACCTCATCGCCAGTTTTGCTCATCTCAATGGTGTGCTTAGCGCCCGACCATTTTGCAACCTGGTCATCGGGAACGCCTGGTCATTTTATTATAATAATCATCATTATTATTAATTATTATACGGGTGTCACAAAATGTTTGTGGTAATTAATTTATTTAAAACATGATAAATGTACCTGTTTTAATGTAAAAATAAATGTAAAAACATACCGAGTTGTTTTAATAGTTGCTCGAAGTTGTTGGACGAGATTTGCACGAATTTTCCAGTTTTAGTATCGGCCATATTATCGGTGATAGACTGTAGTTTTCTTTAAATAAAACTGTTTCTACAAATATAGTAATTTAAATGTAAAGTTATAATTGTTTTACTGCTGTTTAACAGACCCCTTATATACCTATTGCGGGACAATTTGTTTATATTAGCATAATTTAGATATCAAATCGGGAATACAATAAACATAACGAGATTTATTTGTTAGGTGCAAAACCAATATAAATGTTATCAATGTTAAATATTGCATTAAAAATATAATAATCTGATTTTTACTCAATATATAAATATTTAAATTTGTACTCTTTATAGAAATTTTTAAATTATAGTGAAATTATAATGTTTAATAGATTACATATAAGAGATAATTATATGTAATATTTGTCATATCATTATTATATGATACCTAATTTACTTAACATAACCAAATAATCACACTCTACTTGTCAATACCGGATTGATTAAATAAACATAATGAATCATATGCATGATAAAGATGTGGCGAAAACTATCAACGCAATTTTAAAACTTGCAATTACTGTTAACACTACCAACTTTTACAATAATTTATTACAATCACAACTACAATAAAACTAATTACTTTTGTAAAATAAATATCATATACAATGATTTAACCGGTAGCTCAAATTGATAGAACCTCTCAGTGTTTGTTAATTTTTATTTGTTAACCAAGTAGTGTTTATAATTTGATAACAATGTACGATTTATAATTTTTAGTTTAGAATTTTAATTGCAATATTTATTTTGAGTGCAAACGATATAAATATGGTATCAATTAGACTTTATTTGCACTCAAATATAACATAATTATAAAATAGTCGTGCAAGTTTACTTATTTACAATATAATCATTTTTGGATTATAATTTAACATCTAAAAAATAATCACATAGACTTAAAATTAACTGTATTATGTAAATTATCTAACTTTACTGCTATAATTACAATGTATGAAATAAAATTTTTATTAATTAATTAAACTTGTTGATAATTAAAACACAAAATACATAATTGCTTTGTGCGCTTATAAAATAACAATCTAAACTTATATTTGTTAACATAAAATTGTACAATTTATTTTAATTCAATAACATTAGATCATTACATTGTTAATAAAAATTATTACAAACACATAAAATAATTTTTAAACTTCAAAAAATTTATAAATATTACTTTTAAAATATAAAATAGAATTATCAAAATATAAGCATGGTTGTTATAATGTCCAATGAGCGGTTGGGCGCCTATTGTTTAGCGTACGTACGGACGGCCACAACCGGGCCCGCAGTGCTCGTCACCTTCAGCTCACCCTCATTGAACTCATAGACAACTTGCAATTGTTTGTCGCCCTCTCCTATGGTGTGAGTGAGACGATTGCCTTCCTTCACACCAATTGCCTGCAAACAGAAATAAAATAATGTTATGTCAAATACAATAATCAATATAATTATTTAAATAACCTATTTAAAATTTATTAGTATTACAAATATAATATTTAAAAATTAAATTGTAATTTTTAAAAATATTAAAATTCAGTAAATTCAGTATATAGTTTACCTGCACATCTTTGCCGGCAAATTTTTCAGTGTATTTTTCACCAAGCTTAAACTTGGTCTCCCGCACGTGATCGCCGTTAGTTGACTTAATGCTAACCTCATCACCAGTTTTGCTAATCTCGAGTGTGTGGTTACTACCGGCCCATTTTGCTACCAAGTCATCGGGCACTCCTGGTCATTTTAAAACAGTTATATTAGTGTCAAATAATGTGTGTTAATTATCACAAAATGTTTAGGGTAATTAAATAATTTAACACAAAACTAGTGCACAAATAAATAACAATAATATCATTGGTAAAGCATTGATTTGAAGTTAAATAACTTTTTCTCCCGAAAGCGGAGAACCTCCTGAAAGTTTGGGGGCACAAGATATACCCCTTTGGGGGTATTTTAAGAGAATTTTATTTCACCTTTTTAGCACCTTTTGGGACGTTATCACCTTTAGTAACTTTTTAGTAACTTTTCACCTATTTTGCAAATTTTATACGAAATTAA